TTTAAGCCACCGGGTCCGGGACTCGAACCACAGTCGACTACATGGGAGTCCAGCGACATAGCCATTATGCCAACTGCTGGTCCCGGTATTTCTTTGCGTAGTTGGAAGGGACGCCTGCCCCACAGGGCCATAGGGCTGTCTGGCAGGGTCCGCTCTTGCTGCGGTGTTCTCTGTCACTGCCCTGTACTCTAGCTCAGGATCCGCAACCCCGACCCAGATCTGGCTCTCAGCCTGTTTCTGGATAGTCCTTGAAGGAAGGGTTCTAAACCGCCTTTAAATAAGTAAATAAATAAATGACGGACTTCCCGAGAGGAGAGTGGAGAAGAGGGATTGCAGTGTTATCATTCCCCTGTGGGGTGATTTCCACTTTCTCTCTCTCTCCCTCTGTCTCTCTCTAGCTAGGGAATGTGCCCTGTGCCCACCCCACCCATACACACACTCACACACACACACACACACACACACACACACACACACACACAGAAAAGAAAAGGAAAAAAAAGAGAAAAAGGAGTGGTAGAGATGATAACCTGCAGAAGCCTGCAACCGCACCGCCGGGCCTGCACGGCGCAGGCCTGGGGACCTCTGCCCGGGAACGCCCCCCTCTGGAAGCCCGGGCGGCCTGCACTCAGCTGATGCCAGTTTCCCAGCTTGTAACTCACGCACTCTCCGCCCCTCTCTTTCAGCTGGTCGAGCATTATTCTTACAAGCCAGATGGTTTGCTGAGAGTCCTTACGGTTCCGTGTCAGAAAATCGGCGCGCAGGCGGGTGAGTTGCCAGGACAGGGGAGTCTCGGTTTTTCAGCTATGGCTAGAGCCAGGAGCGTTTTAGATTTTGAAGGTTGAAAATGCAGGTTGGGTGACTTTATTTTTGCTGATTAATTAAAAATGATATCAAATCTCCCTAATTTTATGCATCATGAATCAAAAAATAAGCAATCACTTTAACTTTAAAGAGTTAATTGTTTTAATTGCATGGGTGAGAAAGTCAGAGAATTTCAGAGGGTTATTTTTTGTTTGTTTGTTTGTTTGTTTGTTTTTGGAAAGATTTTTGCTATAGGGCGTGTGCACTCACCAGAGAGACAGAGATAGACAGAGAAAGCGAGAAATCACCCCCTAGGGAGGATGGTCATGCCACAGTTCCTTCTCCATTCTCCTCTTGGGATTTTGGGCACTCACGCACACGTGCCTGGTGTGAGCTTCAAGCTGCCCAGTCTGGGACTTGAACCATGATCGACCACGTGGGAGTCCAGCGACGCAGCCATGATGCCATCTGCTGGTCCTGGGAAGGAGGACCTGCGACAGAAGAGGGAGGGCATGGGTGGTTTCCACAGATACGGCAGTAATTACCCACGCTCTTTCTAACCAGGAAATATCAATTTTGGAGGTCGTCCGCAACTTCCAATTTCTCATCCTGCGGTAAGTATTGTTGGAAATGTCAGAAAGGTAGAGCGATTTCATTTCCCAGAGAAGAGTGAAAGGAGCAGTGGCCGGTCCTGTCCTGATCGCCCTTCAGAATATCCCACTCGATGAACTGGGGTGTCCAGGGAGTGTTAGGTAGGAGTGGCCTGTGGTCAATGCTAAGCCAGTTGAGTGTTCCTAACTTCTTGGCGGGGTTCATTCTCCCATTTCCCGAAAGTTTACAGGGCGAGGCTGGAACCCAGTGTTAGAGCAGAAGCCTGGGAAATGGGGATGTAATATTCAAGTGAAGCCTTGAGCCCCCTCTGTGTTGGCACATGGACGTAATCCTTGGGACCGCAGGCGTGGTCAGCACCACACTCATTGCCTCACTGAGTTCGTCTGCCTTTGGTCACATCACCCATGATGTTCTAAAGGAGTTGACCTTTCTGGGTGAGTCGGGTTGACTAGAGCTTAGCAGAGGGAGGCCTGGGACGGAGAGGCGGGGTGAGAGCTCAGATGAGAGGTGTCCCCGAGAAGGAGAGCAGGCAGGGCCCTCGGCCAGACCTACCTCCCTGCTCCTCATCCGTAGGTGAGAATATGGGCTCCTCACATCTCCAGGAGGTTTTACCTGAAGGTGCTCCTGAAAAGAGAGAACCCCACCTCTCTTCTCACGCCAGCCTATTAGGTGCTGATGTGTAGACTAATATTCAGAGATCAGCACCTGATTGCCTGCTCTTCGGGAGGCCTCAGTGTAGACTGTTGATGCCCTTCAATGCTGTCTGTGAGGTGTGCCCTCTCCACCCACTCATCACCTGCTAATCCTGGAGAATGAATATGTAGCAGTGGATAGACAGTGGGTTTTCCAAAGGTTCATAGAACATGTGTATTATGAGAAAACTATGCATGGAATTCAAAGATTCTTTGCACCAAAAATTAACTCATCTCAGTTCATTCTTTTTTTTTATCATGAATTTTTTGAAGTCCCCTAAACTCATCCCATTTCATTCTTTTTTTTATCATGAATTTTTTGAAGTCCCCTCGTATGTTCTGCCTCTTGTCGATTGACTGGGGGAGCTGAACACAGAGGGGAACCATCCTGAGGTGGCACTGCTTCCCAGAGTGGATGGACTGGAGTTTGCTAAGCTGCCAGTGACCTCGGGGCTCGGCATCTGGAACACGGAGCCTTTATGGCCCCTAACGGACCGTTTCAGTTTTGCCCTCTGCACCACTCACGGGCCTGGCCCGCTAACGTTTCATGCTCCACGAGACAGGTCCATTCTCCTTTCACATGGATGAGGACTTGGGGCTGAGAGCTCTGGAAAGACTAGCTGTACAGTACCCAGTCACTTCAAGAAGTCAGATATTTTGCAATAACTTTTAGTGACTGGTAAAATGCAAACAGAAAAAAACGTAGATGCCCTAAGTATAAACTTAAAGATGGAGGCAGCACCCACTCTGAAAAATAATGCAAGCAACACTCAGATTGACCCATGGCTTGTTTAGGATGATTTGTCTTGAGCTTGGGTCGTAATATGAAACACAGGTATTTCATGTAGCCTGTGTTAGCTTTGCAGCCTTTGGTGGAAAATGTTTACCGGATATTGTCTCCCGTTCTTTCCAAGTGGGAGCTAGCCCGGCAGCGCACGCACAGTCTCGCTGGAGGGGAGGAGGGAGTTAGCGGGCGGTTACGGAAGCAGAAATAGCATGTCTTGTAAGGCGCCTTATGTTTTCTGAAGTACTTACTGTCCCTCTTTGCCATTGTGGTTTCCAGACATGGTCAGCGGGTGGAATAATCTCCAGAATCAAATCATACTCCTTCCCAAAGCCTGGCCACAGAAAGGTGCTAACGTGTCCCCTGCTTGCCGTCCCTGACTAAGTGGTAGGACTGACCCGCACTCACCCACACCCGCCCGGCCCGCCCGCGTGTGCACTGCCACTCACCCTCTGCTGCTGTGCTTCCGTGCCTCTGCCCCGTGCGCCTCGTCCACACCTGCCGTCGCAGGGCGGCCACGCTGCGGGTGCCTACCTGCCGTGCTTTCCGCCCTGGTCCCCGTCAGCTGGCTGGGAAGGCCATCGTGTGAGCGCACACTGCTCAAGTCCAGCTTCAAGTCAGTCTGCCAGTGTGATCAGTGTGGAGAGTGCTCATATTAGAACGCCTTTTCAAGAGAGCCGGTGTATTGGGCCAGAGATGGCGTGGTGGTAAGGCACCGGAATCCCACATGGCCATCCATAGTTTGAGCCCCAGACCCAGTGGCTTGAAAATCACACCAGGTGTGCTTATGCGTGCCCCAAATCACAAGAAGACAGAGGAGAAGGGATATGGCCTAGCCATCCCCCCAGCCTGGGGTGCTTTCTCATTTTCCCTCTCTCTGGCAAACTCATGAACCCTATGGCGAAAACTTTAAAAAGTCCTTTTTAAATGACCTTTATTCAATCACAAGAGGACAGAGGAGAAGGGGTATGGCCTGGCCATCCCCCAGCCTGGGGTGCTTCCTCATTTTCCCTCTCTCCAGCTCTCTCTGGCAAACTCATGAACCCTATGGCGAAAACTTTAAAAAGTCCTTTTTAAATGACCTTTATTCATAATCAGTTCCATAGTCTCTACTCCCAAGATGTGCGTCTATCTATTTATCTATATATACAGATTGCTTTTTTCTATCCACTTTTAGATATTAATAATTCTTAAAATTAACTTTTACTAATTTTTTATTAATATTTTCATTTTAATATTAACTGTTTTCTAAACATTTTAGCATATAATTGGGCATCAACCCATGAAATAAATTGCCTAAACTACTTATTAAAAACAATGACAGGGACCAGCAGATGACATAATGGCTACATTGCTGGACTCCCATGTAGTTAACCGCAGTTTGAGTCCCGGACCCAGCAGTTTAAAACTTATGCCAGGTGTGTGTGTGCGCGTGTGTGAGAAGAATGGAGGAGAAGAGATTGTGGCTGGCGTGGTCATCCCCCCAGGGGGTAAATTCTCACTTTCTGTGTCTCTGTCTCTCTGGCAAGTACATGCGCCCTATAGCAAAACTCTCTCTTTAAAAAAAAAGGCAGTGAAAAGCACAAAAGCTCTGAGGTTTTTAGAAATAATTTTCCAAGTCGACACTCATCCTCAAGAGGCTCTTCATCTTGTGGTGCAGCAGGGAAGTGAGTCTAGCGTGTGCCTGGGGACGGCCGAGCAGAGGGGAACTGTTTGCTGGGGGCAGAGCCTCCCATAGCGCCCAGCCTCTGGACAGCCTGGCCTGGAGGGTACACAGCTCCAGCTTCCTACTAGAGAAACAGGACAGAGTTCGAACTACAGCATCCTTGAAGACTTGAAGATAGCTTTCACTTTTTCTAAGATTATTAGACTAAGTCCCCACATTTCAAACTGAAAGCCTATTTTTCATGTTTGATTCCAACACGTAGATTGATAACTGTAATATTTTGAAACATTGAAATTTGCTAGAGAATGAAAAGAAGTCCTTGAGTCGGCCTCATTCGCTTGCTTGGTGACTCTGGCTGTAGACCAAGACCACTGAGAGAATGTGCCCCCTAGGAGCACGAAGGCCCCATCTCCGGCCATGCTGGGAGGTCAGAGGAGACCCTGCGAGTGTCGGGTGTGGTGTGGGGCTGACGCATGCCAAGTGCCATCCTGTACCCTGGCAGGGGCTGCCCTTCCTGCGGGGTGCCGTTCCCCACTGAACCACGGCCATCGCTCTGGATCCAGGAACCATGGCTGCTTAATTAGTTATTTTCTATATTTATTGTAATTTTGCTCTGGGGTGCATATGCTGGCCAGAGTCAGACAGGGAAAGTGAGAAAACACCCCCAGAGAGGATGGCTACACTGCACCCCTTCTCATGGTCCTTTCAGAAGTTGGGGCACGTGGGGCCCAGCAGCCTTACCCCCCACGCCCCAGGCTGGCCCCCATCACTGGTTTCTTATAGCCGCTGTTCCCGAAGCCAGCGTCTCTTCTTGTGACCGGTCACGGCTAGTCCATTGTCCACCTTACCACTGTTGCCTATTTGAAAAGAAAAACTGAGGCCTAGAAGACAGCTGTCAGGACACGGGCGATGCCCTGGGGACCGGGAAGCTCTGCGCCAGCCGTCAGCTCCAGGAAAGCAGTTCCTGTTTTTCTCTTGGTTCACCTGTGAATCCCCGTTTCCTAAACAGGCACTCAAAGAACATTTGTCAAATCTATTTTCTCTTTAAACTTAAGCCTGACAGTTAGGACTCAGACTTATATAATTTACAGCTGAACACAATTTTTAACGTGTTATTTTAGTGGAGTTATTTGTTATTACCTGAATTTATAAAAGTTCAAGTGACCCATGAAGCGCATGGAAGGCGTAAAGCTAAGGGAGCTGTTGCCCTCTAGTGGCGATCTGCAGGCCTGCTCTCTGTTTCGAGTATTGGGAAAAAAACCAGAAGAATTTATCAGCATTCTGCGTTTTTCTTGTAGAAAAGCTGATATATTCTTTTTAAGATGGCACTGTTGATCAGAGCACAGTATAATCACATTCAAGGCATAAATACGAATTAAAACTCGTCACGTGTGACCGCTATCCAATTCTCCTCACAGTTAGTGTTTCCTTACATTTTAAATGCTCAGTAGCCTCATCCTTGGTCATCATGCCTTTGTGCTCTTTCTTCCCAAAGCCCTCGAATTCTCTTCAACAGATCAGCCACTACGAACTCTCCCTGGCTCCCGACACCCGCATCTTCTTCGGGTACTTGTTAGACTCTGCCCTCCTGGTCCAGGCCCGTCCTGTGCGGGTGAGGGCTGCAGTCTCAGGACCTGTCCCAAGTGCAGAGAGCAGGAGACCTCAGCTCATGAGGAGGCTCAGTGTACCCCGCTCCTTGTCTGTGACTCCTCCTGGGGCACCCTTCAAGTCCGCATCTCAGAAAGTTTGGTCTTGAACTTTTCTTTTTCGCTTTTTTGTTTCTTTTTGCCATAGGGCACATGCACTTGCTAGAGACAGAAAACGTCAAGGAGTCCCTTCTCCTCCACTCTCCTGCCGGGATTGTTGGCACAAGCTCACACGTGCTGCGCGGTGTGGACACACGTGTGTTTCAAGCCAGGGGGTCCAGGATTCAAACCTGCCAGGAGGCCTTCTGGGATCTAGCCGCCCCCGTATCTTAGAACTTTTCCGCTTACAGAGGAAGTCGCAGGAAGTGAGCGGGCAGCAGATACTACCCTGAGGGCGACTGTGAGAAATGTATTTCAGTCTAGAGCTCCGTCGTAGGAGGGGCTGAGCAGAGAGAAGATGGGCACTCCTGGGAATCTCCTCGTGTCCGCCAGGGCAGTCCTTCTGATGTAAAATACTACATTCTACATTAGGGACGGAAGCACAGCACACCCGCACATCCGTAACCACAGCTAGACAGGGCTGATGGGCATCCGTGCCTGCATCCCTTCAGTACTCTAAGGCTTGAAAGAGCGCTCCTCATTCCGTATTTGTATACCCGCTCCAGTGCACGTGCACTCATCAGCGTGAGGCGGAGAGAGGGGAAGTGAGAAGTCACCCCCGGGGAGGCCACACCACACCCCTTCTCCTCCGCTCTCCTCGTGGGATCTTGGGCACACACCCACACGCGCCTGCCATGTCTGTCAAGCTGTCGTGTCGCAGACTCAGACCGCACAGTGAGCATGCCGGATCCAGGAGCCATCACCTCTGCACCACCAGACTGGCCCGAGAGCTCTTATCAGAACAGACAGTGGCATGATCTCTCCCGTGAGGGGAAGGCACCCGTGGGTCTTCACGACGTGACGCACTCCAGTCTCAGCCAGCCAGGACGGTGGGCGTGTGCCTAGCTGGTGTGCACAGGGAGGCCTCAGGGTGCAAGCCGAGGACCTTCCCATGTGGCCCAGCATCAGGGAGTTTTGTGCTACTGCTGCAAACCCTGGCTGGCCCAGAACTCGTTTCAAAGCCGCACTAGTGCACGTTTCCCATCTCCCGGCCCTAGGTGGTTTTCTTTCATCCCTCCGTTCACACGGACCACACGTTCTGTTGATCCCCAGTGGGGGGCCTTGGCAGGCCCAGGGCAGTGAGTCACCGTCGATGACGCTGCACTCGTTCCTGTTTTCGTCCTCGACATGTTGGAGTGACCTGTTACACAGCCCCCAAGAGCACTGGGATGGTCTGGGACATGCCTTTGACAAAGGGGAGAGGATGTGCCTTGTCCCTGTCCACGGGGTTTTGGCCACGTTTGTGGCCCCTGCCTCGGCAGACGCTCTGCAGATGCTCGGTGGCCATCGTGAAGGACCCAGCCCGAGGGGGAGGCAGACAGCTCCTGGCATAGTGCAGTGGTGTACTGTGACCTCCTTGTTCCACTTGTGCTTTTGGCTTGGGGACTTAGGACAGCGACAGGCAGATGAAGGTTTAGGGTGCACCGTGAGTGACTGTGTGACAAGCTTAATGTCTGTTTCGTCCAATTCCTCCCAAACCGGATGTGGTCTCATTTCTTCACGGCCAGTGTTTGGGCACTGACGAGGGGAATGGATACATAAAATTGCTACTCAGCTCACACTGAAACAAAGGGGGGGGATTTGTCGCTTTCCTGCAAACTGAACTTAGCAGGAGCTCGTTTAAATGTAAGGGTAGGGTGGTCAGAGGAGCTCGAGGTAAACACTTTCAGAGTGGGAAGGCACGTCCAGGTAGATGCCCCCGTTATTCCGTGATGCACGTTCGCATCCGTCAGAGGTGAGGGGAGGCGCCCTTCGTACCGCAGCACAGCTCTGCTGCAGCTGGGCCTCGCCTACTCTGTGCGAGGAGGACGCCCTGCCCCTGGTGAGCAGCGGGACCCCCTCACAGGTCAGCCACAGGAGCAGCAGCACCTGGGCCTGGGGCAGGGCAGCCGGCTGCTCTGGTCCTGCTCCCTGACCGGTGCTGGCCTCCAGCCCAGCGTAATCTGCTCGACCTCGCGGACGAGAGGGACGGAGGCGAAGGCTGGCGTGCACGCTCGTCTGGAGTGGGGAAGTGGGTGGGAGCTGCTGGCTGGTATTTGATTTTCCTTTTTAAGTGGTTTCCATATAATATGCAGGCCTTCCAAAAGTTCATGGAACATGCATATCATGAAAGAGCTAGACATGGGTTTCAAAAATGTTTTGCACCAAAATAAACTCATACTTTACTCCCATTTTCCCAAGAGATTTTTGGAGTTCCCTTGTATAACATGGGTGGGAATAGGATGCCCAAGGGTGTGTGGGTGGGAGGGAATTCTGCCAGAACAAATGGTTAATTCTTTTTTTTTAACATGTGGTAAAGAGCATGTGCATGAGAGAGGGAGAGGGAGAGGGAGAGAGGGAGAGAGGAGGGACAGAGAGGACGCTCCCCACAGGGTCTCACCACACCGCGACCCTGGTGCTCAGCCTGCAGCTGCCCAGGTCCCTGGGCGTGCACACCCATGTTCACACACGCACAGCATGTCAGCCAGCCAGGGGTCTGGGCTGACCAGGTAGCCCCAGCACCGTAGTCCAGTCCGCTATGGACTGCAGGGGAGACTGGGACAGCACAGAGGGCTAACTCTCTCCCAGCTCCCGCTGGGACTTGGCAGCGTCCCTGGAATCATGGCGGCCTAACTTTCCAGAGCCCTCACAGGACCCAAACAGTTGCCTGAAGAGTGAGACAAACCTTTGTTATTGTCTTGTCTGTCTCCCTCACTCTTTCCTTTATCTTTTCTGCCTAAGATCAAATGTGATCATTTGAAAACAATAGCTGTGCAGATCAATTCATCGGTGTATTGACAAATAAAATGACCTGTTTGTGTGTGCTAGGCCTCCCCTTCCCACGGGAGCCGGCCCGAGAGCACCTCCAACCCTTACGAGCTGGACCGAGGGGCCTGGCCTGCAGACAGAGGTAAGAGCTCAGGTCCTCTCACCCGACGTTCGCAGAGCCGGGGCAGGGCCCCGCAGTTGCCCCGTCTCGGCTGCAGCAGTGGCTGGCAGTCAGCGACAGACAGAGACATCGTGTATCTGTGACAGTGGCCGTCTACCGAGTCAGATGGCCTCCGCCACGTCCCTCAGTGAGGTGGCGGCGCTGAAAACACACTGCTTCAGAATTTCTCATCTCTTGAAATCCTGGATGACTTTTTTTTTTAAAAGACTTTTCTAAAGAATTGTTTATTTAATTTTATTTATGTATTTATTTTAATTTGACCAGACACACACACAGTCTCAAGCCCTGTGTGGTCTCTCCATAGGGGCTAGTGTGGACTCTTACACACGGGGCTCTCAGGGCTGTCAGACACTTCGATGGTGTCTGAAGGCTTCGAGAGTCCGGTTTTCAGCAGGTGAGGCAGCAGGTGCGACAACTGTGCAACTGCACCTGGAAGTCACGCATGTCCTGCCGTGGTGTCGGATGGTTGGCATACTGATAAAAGCCAGCAGGGGCAGGTGGTATAGACTCCACCTCCCAATGGGAGGAATGTCGGGATTTACAGCCACCACAGGCCACTTGGAGGGGCCTCTCTTACTGCTTCCTGACCCTGCCTTGAGTCTTCAGAGGCACCCTGACTACCCAAGGTGACCACAGGAGAGGCAGGGGCAGGCGACTGAATCCTGACTGCTCGCCAGCCCCAGCCTGTGTGTTTCTTCATTTCTTTTTTCTTCTTTTTTTTTTTTAAAGAAGTTTTTGCTATAGGGCGTGTGCGCTTTCCAGACAGACAGAGACAGAGAGACAGAAAGCGAGAAATCACCCCCCAGTGGGGATGGTCACGCCGCAATCCCTTCTCCTCCATTCTCCTCTCGGGATCTTGGGCATGCACACACACGTGCCCGGCATGAGTTTAAGCCACCGGGTCCGGGATGTGAACCACAGTCGACTACGTGGGAGTCCAGCGACATAGCCATTACGCTAACTGCTGATTCCGCCTGTGTGTTTCTTGACTGTGCTGCAGGCCCCCAGAGGGAAGCCTTGCCCATGGACACAGAAGTGTACGAAAGCCCCTACGCAGACCCTGAAGAGATCAGGCCCAAAGAGGTCTATCTGGACCGGAAGCTGCTGACTCTGGAAGACAAGGAACTGGGCTCTGGGAACTTTGGGACTGTGAAAAAGGGCTACTACCAGATGAAGAAGTGAGTCGCTTCTGTCTTACCTGTCCTTGTTCTTGTATGCGCTGATGTTCTAGAAACTACTAAGACCACAACGATAATGGTCATTTAACCTCAAACACAAAACATAACCTAGAGCCACTAAGTCCTTTCTCTACTAACATGACAAGGTGTATTTTTGTTCATTTCTGATTGATGATATGACGATGATAACAAAATTTCCATTATGCAGATTAACTCTGAATGAGATAATTAAGTATTGGCCCAGCTGTTGTAAGTACACACTGCTGAGATGCTGTTCTCCACAGGTGGGGACCACATGGGAGGCCAGGGTTCAAGTCCCCATCCAACCCAAAGGCTGGGCACAGTGGCACCTGCCTGTCTGTGACTTGGGAGGCCAAGGCAGGGGAATCATGACATGGTGACATTGTCTTAAAAAGAAAACAAAACAAGAAACTTAAGTATTTTAGTTTCCATGTAGGATATAGTGCCTTATAGAAAATTAGAAATAAGCAAAACTAGAAGAAAATTAGGACAACATATTTACCATTCAAAAACTACCACTTTTAGTAATCATATTCTATAAATTCTTTGAATTTATATATACACATGCATATCTAATTAAAATGAAGTCATCCAATGATAATATAGTATTTTCATTGATTTATAATTGCATGTCATTTTTCTTACCCAGAAACATTTTGAATTCTAAGTATTATCTGTTTTCGCCTGTAATTTCAAATAACAATATATATTATAACAATACATATTATACAGTTAAAACTGCTGAGTTATTAATATTTCTTTGTATTTCATTTGGTATTTAGAAGGAATCCACACAGAATATTCAGTAAAAATACTGGTTTCTAAAGTCATTTGAAACAAAACTTCTCTTTAAATAGGTATACTTTTAATAGGAATAGAATTGGGTTTATTTTTCTCAAGCTATTTTGAACTTAGGGACTTTAGTAAATTGTTTTCATCTTGAGTAGGTAAATTACATGATTCAGGGTGAAATATACAAAAGTATAACAAAAAGTTGCTTTCAAGACTACCCCTTTTACGTGCTGTGTGTGTGTACACCACATTGGCGAAGCTGCTTATCTTAAGATATCCATAAATTACAGTCATTGTTTCAATTGAGTATCGGCTCTTCCTGTATTAAGCCATATGTTTTCTCAGTTTGTGAAAGTTTGTCAGAGTGAACTCTCTCGCTTACCTCAACATGTGAACTGTAGACAAAGCTACGAAATGTCATCTCAGCCCCAGGGCTCGGGGCTCGGAGCGGCTGGAGCCAAACTTGGAGAA